TCTTCTGAAAACATAACATATGGTCGTTCAAGGATAAATCACCAAGAACAACTCCAGGGAAGATCAGAAGGTAAAAACAGATAATTTTTTACTGTTTATTTATATTTCTAAAACGGTTTCCGACTGAGCTAACCTAGCAATGTCCGATTCGTCAACGAATCGTTTGAGTCGGCGCTTTTCCCAATTAATTGTCTGGGGTGCGTTTCCCAATGATCGCAAGTTCCATTGAACTCTATTGGTAACGATGGAACTTGCGACCATTGCTTTTGTGAAACGCACACCTGAATGATTCGTCCACCGTCCACGAATCACTCGTTCTAGCCGTTAGCAGTCATCAACCGAAAGACTTAGTGAACCCAGAACCGTCGTGAACATGTAAGATCCGACAGTAATACAAATAAGTGTGAACAGTTAAGGTAAAAAGCTACAAATGTTACAAGTAAAACATAATTGAAACATACCATTGCAGTTTATGCACATGAGTTGGTATTACACTTTTTCAGTCAAGTTTAAATGGACTTTAGTAAATAATAGGCTATAAAGGGCTAAATCCAAACCATAATATGTTACTACAGTTTTCATAACCTGTAGGCTGCAACGAAATGAACTAGAGCACATTAACATTGATAATAAAACATAATAATAATAAATCTTAATAACTGACTGGTCCCTACACAGTATTGGAACATGCTAGAACATGCATGCATGCCACACGCTAAGTAATGAGGTAATTACCTCACATCGTAAAAGAATTACAATCTCGATGTTTTGAACTGGTTCTTTACATGTTCAAAAGAACCGAATCGCAGAACAGAGCTTCCATTGCTTTTCAAAGCAATTGCAACAAACTGATAAAGGCACACCTGTAACCTTGTATAATATCAATGCAACAAGTTGCAAAAAAGGACACTGCTTGGCAACCTTCAACAGCCATAGTTAGGCTAATTACCCATATTACCTATTTTGTTAATTATTATTATTAAAGCTAACTATATTGAACACCGGTGTCATTTATCATTTTGCTGTTGCCGCCTCCTGTAAATGCAGTATTTTATTATTATTATTATTATTTTTATCACGGAATTGCATTGCTGTAGTGAATAATAGCCTAGCCCTACTTAGAGTCACTCAGGAGCCCTGACCTGAATAAGCTGTCATCAGGAATTTTAAAACAGGATTACCTGGCATCCCACTAAATGGATTTGCTGAGTACAATGTCTACAAAAGCCGCTAAAAGCCGGGCAAATGGACTGTTTGCGAAAATGCCATCGCTGTGGAAGTCTGATTAAGACACGGGCTTCAGTCCTGTTTGATCTGAGCTCATCAAAGGCTCCTTTACACACGCTTCATTTTACACCACCGTAGGCTTTGGATGTACAATTAAAACAAAGCCAATAGACAAAGGGATGGGGATGAACCCTGCCAATTCGCATTTAATGAAGTATAATTATTATTTATTTTTATTTTTTTTTCCCGCTGATTTCCCCATCCAATATTACTGTGGTGGCTGTTTGATGGCAGCTCATCAAAACGTGCATACAAACACACCGATAGACAGACAGCCCTTGACACAACGCTTTGAAATTTCATCCAGCCCTTTGTTACTCTCAGCGAGGGGCGGGAGCGCAAACAACCCCGCGCGCGTATAAATGAAGCGTCTTGAGTTCATGAGGAACCACAGAAGAGCTCCGCTCACCTCGGGAATACATCCTCCATCCTCCAAGGAATACCAGACCTGACGATGCTGCACATTGCCATGTTCTCTACCGCATGCCTCATTCTCGTGGGCTGCATCAAAGCGGCATCCACCGGTTCTGTGGTGCTCAACTCCAACGCTATT